CTTGACAAAGAGCTGTGAGAGATGAGGGGATCTAAACTACATAGTGACAGTAGAAATGAAGAATTGTTATCAGCTCTTGCCTGAGGTGACACGGTGTGGTGACAGGGTCTGGAAACAAACAACTTAGATTGGAAACGTGGATTTCCAGTTATTAATGGCATAAACTTGGGCAGGTTACTTAACCTCTCTATAACTCAGGGTTTTTTTTGTTTTAATCTGTAAAAGATTAATAAAAATAATATCTACCTCATAAGGTTGTTAGGAAGATTAAATGAGTTAATATATTAAAAGCACTTAGAATAAATAGTACCTGACATAGTGATTGTAATATGTGCAAGTGCTTATTAATATTATCTATTCAGAGGAGAAGTAAATCTCATATTTTTGGAATGAAGGAAGAAGAGACCATTTAATTTGGAATGTAGAGAAGACGAAAATGCCAAAAGGCAAAGACTGCTGGAGTTCAGAGGGTACTCCAGTTGCGGGTAATAGCAAGAGCTAAGGCTCAGAGCAGGGAAAGGATAGGAGATGTTGAGGTTTCAGGAAAAGGTTCAAAGGGTCATGCTTCAACAGGAAATAATTTCTTCAACAGGCAAAAAGAAATCTGAGAGCCTAAGGGCAAGGAAGACTCAACCTTGCCTATTAATAGGGGACCATAAAAATTTATCATCAAATTGTGATACTTTTGAAAGAGAAAAAAATAGTAAAAATGATAAAAATTAAATCATTTAGATTTATTTTAATATATTTTTGAAATATTTATTGTCCAAAAATTGTTTTATTCAAAATTATTTAAAAATATAAGTCTTTCTGGGAAAAAACTACATACATTAAAGGAAATTTTTTAAATTTTAAAAATTAAAAATTTTTAATCTGAACATTTAAAGATGACTTAAGTGTAATAATTACAAGAACAGAAAATTACAGGTAAATATCTGTCATGAGCAGAGACGCAAAAGTCCTGTGTGAGATATGAGCAAATCTAATAAAGGACATATAAAAAGGGTAGTACATCAAGACCAAACGGAGTTTATTCCAGAAATGCAAGATTGATTTAACATTTAAAACTCAGTGTAACTCATTACATTAACAGAATAAAGGAAAAGAACATATAGTTATCTCAATAGATGCAGAAAAAGTATGATCAAGGAAAAACAAAACAAAACAAAAAACCCAAACCTCTTAGCAAACTGGAAATGTAAGGGATCTGTCTTATTTCAGCAAGAATATCTTTTTAAAAAATTGACAACTACATTTTACTTAATGGTTAATTTTAAACATTTGCCTCTTGAGTTAGGATTAAGATAAATATGACCACTATAACTACTTCTATTCTACATTGTACTGGAGGTACTAGTCAATGCTATAAGGCAAGACAAATAAAAGAAACAAAAGATATAACAAAGAGTAAAAAGTAAAAAACTTTACTTTTTTAGAGAAAAAAGTAAAGTTGTCATTTGCAGATGACATGATTATGTATGTATGTGTGTATGTAAAAAGTCTAAAAGAATGTACTAACTATTAGAATTAATAAACACAGCTACTGGAAACAATATCAATATCCAAAACTCAATTGTATTCTATATACTAGGAACAATTAGAAAATGAAAATAAATTTTAAATAGCATTATAAATGGCACTGAAAAATAAAACTCCTAAGAATAAATCTAAAATATGATGTGCAGAGCTTCCCTGGTGGTGCAGTGGTTGAGAGTCCGCCTGCCGATGCAGGGGACACGTGTTCGTGTCCTGGTCTGGGAAGATCCCACATGCCATGGAGCGGCTGGGCCCGTGAGCCATGGCTGCTGAGCCTGCGTGCCCGGAGCCTGTGCTCCTCAACGGGAGAGCCCACAACAGTGAGAGGCCCGCAAAAAAATAAAAATAAAAAAAATTTTTAAAAAATGATGTGCAAAACCTCTGTGCTGAAAAGTACAGAATATTGCTAATGTGATTATAAAGACCTAAATAAATGGAAGGATATTCTATGTTTGTGATCAGAAGATTCATGGTAGTAAAAATGTCAATTCTCCCCCAGAGTGATTTACAAACAATTCAAAATCTCAGACTTTTTTGTGTGTGCCAATTGAAAAGCCCATTCTAAAATTTATATGAAAATGCAGATTACCTAATATAGCCAAGGCATCTTGAAGAAAAACAAAGAGATTGGAGGAACATAAAGATATCAAGGTTTGTCATGAAACAACAGAAATTATAACAGAGTGGTGTTGGTTCAAGGACAGGCAAACAGACCAGTATGACAAAGTAAGGAATTCAGAAACAGATTCATGCATATAAAATCATTTGATTTATGGCAAAGTCACTATTGCAATTCAGTAAAATAAATGATAGTCTTTTTAATAAAAGGATGCCAAAAAAAGGAGATACAATACTGGAAAAAATTAAATATGACTCCTAGCTTACATAAAAATTAATTTAAGATGGATTAAAAGGCTGAATTAATAGACTGAATATTTGTATCTCTCAGAAATTAATATGTTGAAACCTAATCCCCAATATTATGGTATTTGGAGATGGGACCTTTGGGAGGTGATTAGGTCATGAGGGTGGAGCCCTCATTAATGGGATTAGCGCCCTTATAAAAGAAGCTCCAGAGTTCCCCTTGCCCCTTCTGCCAAGAACCCGGGAAGTGGAACCTCACCAGTGCCTTGTGCCCTGATTGTGGAATTCCCAGACTCCAGAACTGTGAGAAATAAGTATATAGAAACATTCCATACCTTAATGTGAAAAGTCAGATAATGAATTTTCAAAAAGAAAACACGGAATACCTTTATAGCCTTGAGAAAAGCATAGATTTCCAAATAGAACATACAGTTCACTAATCATAGAATAAAATACTGATGAATTTACCTTTATTAAAATTAAGAACCTTTATTTTATCAAAAGCCATCATGAATAGAGTAAACAGGAAGCCACAAATTGGAAGAGGATATTTGAAATACATATATCTCCCAAAGGACTTGTGTCCAAAATAAAGAAATAACTCATATAAAACAATAGGAAAGAGACACTTAGCCCAAAATTTTTTAAATGAGCAAAAGATTTGAATAGGCACTCCACAAAAAAAGGTATCTAAATCACCAATAAATATATTAAAAGATGTTCAATATTATTAATAACAGTGAAATGCAAATTAAAACAGTAATAAAATACCAACAACACCCATTAAAATGGCTATAATTAAAAGGACTGAAAATACAAACTGTTGGCAAGGATATAAAGGAACTGGAACTCTAATGTTGCTGGTGATAGTGTTAGTGATAGTTCGGAAAACTGTTTAGCAATATCTACTAGAGCTAAACATCCCAAACTCTATGACACAGTGATATCCACTTCTAGGTATGTGCTCAAGAAAGATGATTACCTATGTGTGCCTGCCAAGTATATATATATATACCAAAAATGCCCATAGGAGTATTATTCATAATGGCCCCAAACTGGTAATAAACCAAATGTTCACTAATAGTGCAATGGATAACTTAAAAGTGGTATATTCATGTAATAGAATACTATACAACAACAAAAAGGAATAAACCTCTGTAATACCCCAAAGCATGGATGAGTTTTACAATGTTGAAAGAGGTTAGAGATAAAAGAATGCATATTGTGGGACTTCCCTGGTGGTGCAGTGGTTAAGAATCCACCTGCCAATGCAGGGGACACAGGTTCAAGCCCTGGTCTGGGAAGATCCCACATGCCACAGAGCAACTAAGCCCATGCACCACAACTACTGAGACTGTGCTGTAGAGCCCACGAGCCACAACTACTGAAAGCCCACGCACTCTAGAGCCCACACGCCACAACTACTGAGCCCACACGGCAGTTACTGAAGCCCACCCCGCCTAGGGTCCATGCTCAGCAACAAGAGAAGCCACCGCAATGAGAAGCCCACACACCACAAAAGAGTAGCCCCCGCTCACCACAACTAGAGAAAGGCTGCGAGCAGCAACAAAGACCCAACACAGCCAATAACTAAATAAATAAAATTTTTTTAAAAAAAGAATGCATATTGTAATATTCATTTATATGAAGTTCAAAAGGAGTCAAAAGTAATTTTTTTGGTTACAGAGGTCAGAAGAGTAGTAACTTATTTGGGGCCAAATCAACTGGGAGGAGGCGTCAGGGTGTGTGTGGTGCTGGAATGTTCTTCTCTTGATCCGAATGGTGTTTGCACACTTATATACACATGTAAAAATTCATTAAGCCTTAAGATAGGTGAATTTTATGGTATGTGTTATATCTTCACTTAAAGAAGATAAATATAGATAGTAAAAATGATACGTACAGAATTATTATCCTCATTATGTCTTCATGTATCAGTTTCTTAGTCATATTTCTCTAATATCATGTCACTGGTATTTTCCTATGGTCTTATTATTTTGTATGTTCGTTACAAAATTACTTGCAATCTTTAAAATGGTGTTTTATTGTTAATATATATGAAACTGTTAATATCTTCAGTTGATTTCTTCTATTTCAACCATACTATTTTTTTTTTTTTTTTTTTGAGATACGCGGGCCTCTCACTGTTGTGGCCTCTCCCGTTGCGGAGCACAGGCTCCGGACGCGCAGGCTCAGCGGCCATGGCTCACGGGCCCAGCCGCTCCTCGGCATGTGGGATCTTCCCGGACCGGGGCACGAACCCGTGTCAGCAGGCAGACTCCCAACCACTGCGCCACCAGGGAAGCCCTCCCATACTATTTTTAATTATGAAAATACTCTCTACAGTTACTGAGGTACCTGGTCAGATCAATAATAATGCTAAATTGAGAATATTTTCCATTTTAATTGCATTATATTGAAATATAGTAATATTTCAGCCAAAATATTTTCACATGTACTCTCTTTTTGCCTCCACTCAGAGTATATTTATTCAATAAATGTTTTATTAGATGAAATTTGTCAAATTATCTCTCTCTATGATTCTTCTGAATGTTTTGCCAAATTTAAATTCATTTGGGTTTTATTCTATTTTGGCACAGAGAATTTTCTCCAACAAAAGTGGGAACACAAAGGACATTCAAGATATCCCAAAGATCTATTATCTAATTTCAAAATCAAATCTTGCACTATTTGGACTTTCATTATTTCAGTAATTACAAGTAAGTTGAATATATTGTATTGCACTTAGATTGATTTACAAAGAACTTCCTTAAGGGCTCAAGCATTTCTAAAATTTGATAACATGTAGCAAAGAGAGAAAGCATCTACTTCCACACTGAATCTGAATTATTTTTTTATTTCAACATCAAATTTGTAAAAAAAAAAAAGAAGTATACAGTTTAGTAACTCTAATTGCATGTACATACAAAATATTTATAAAATTTAACAACTATAGCTTCTATTTCAGTTGTTAGATCATCACAGCTCTTTTAGGATGCAATTATGAATTTTGTATGTACCACAACCAATACGATAAGCACATTTCTTCAATGTATATATCTTAATTTAGTGGAACATTGCTTTTACCATGTTTTTACAAAGTTGTCCATCAAAATTTGTGTTCATTTTATTACTGAAATAAACCAATAATTTTATATCAATGTTGAACTTTTAAACTAAATTTATAATGTTTTTAACCATAGTGTGAGATGCTTTATCTAAACAGAATGAACTTTAAATAGTTTTACTTTGATTCCATGATTTGTATGGGAAAAAATCTTGAACCATTTTTAATTGGCTGGCTTTTATTTGTAGCACCTGATATGTTGTTGTAAGAGTCTCATCATTTAACTATCTGTGAAGTTAGCATCCTGTTAGAACTAATAAAATAACAGCTATCATTTCACTTTTTGTACAATCATAAGAAAACTGGGAATCTAAAATGAGCGAAATGTAGAAGTAAAATCATTTGATCCAAATGGAAAGTCCTGCTGCAGAGTGACATGTAAATACACCTTCTGCAGCTGCACATGTTAAATCATGATCTCCAGGAACAATCATCTTAAAATAACATTAACTTTTGAAGTGGATACTTTCAGTTTTCACATGCTCAGCAATTATGGCCCCATTGTTGGATGGGGAATTTAAAAATTTTGAAAGTTACACCTTCAACATTAGCTTTTTTGAGAAACAGAAACTCAGTACTTAATTTTTCATGAAACACTCTTGGCTTTTAGCCTATTACTGTCAAAAGAGTTGATTGCAATTTTTATAAAGGCATGAATAACAAAATAAGAAAATTTTAAAGATTTTTACCATGGGATACTGCTGTAGCAAGAGCACTCAGACCACCCTCGGTACACAATATGGTAACCAGCCTCTATTTCCTGAACATATTTTGTGGACAACTAATCTGTAATTACCCACATTTCCTAATGACCCTGCTGACTAGCAGCCTGGCAGCTTGCTACATCATGAAATCTGTAGCATGGGCCATGGCATAATTGGCTAGAACACCAAATAGATTGCAGGGGCAACTGTGTTGAATACTTCTTCCTCCACCCTCAAGACCAGAAGGATTTAACTGTTCCTAGTCGCCTGAATCCAAGGGCACATCATTTTATCAATTAAGACTCCACATGCTATCCTGAACAGCAGTTGTTATTTTATATATAATACATACATATATATATATAAAATATATATTTAGAAAGGTTCTAGAATAGAAAGATATTCTCTCTAACCAGGCAACTCTCTTTATATGTCCTAAACTGAGAATTCTTTTCCCTGCACATTAGCCTCATACTTCTAGATGAGACTACAGCAGAAGTTGCAAGTACAGAATAAAGGCCCATCAAATTGATCTTCGCTTATTTTAATACAACACTTAACACTACTTGTTTAAATCAGGAAAAAAAATCCTAAAGTGGATGGTACAAGAGAATAGGCATAAATGGGGATTGTCTCAGGCATACTGGGGCATATGAAAACCCTAAAGTAGTTTAAATTCACAGTGGAAATAAATTCAATTCAAATCCACAAATATTTGTTGAGGACCTACTAAGCCCAAGAACTTTAGCTATAAGCCGAAAGGAAAATACAAATAGGAATTGAGCCAATTCTTTCCTCTTACCCTTAGGAAGGATAAGGCATATATACAAAGGATTCATATTCAGAGTAGAATGGTATGACATTTTCTTGAAAATTAATGATGTAAGACTCTTGCATTGAAGAAAATAACACAGTATTTGTTTCCAATGATTAAACTTGAGCTTTTGAGTAAAAACGAAAATTTGGAAAAATTGTATCCACCACTGTGAGTTTGACAGTTTCCCAATATCTAAAGGCTTTTCTGATGCGATTCGTAATATGATAGTAATATGAACAAATGTGATAGTGAAAAGTGTCAACATTTCAAGGACTTGCATAACTCAGTGGATCAATACTTTCCAAATGACAAATGTGTAAGCAATGTTACAAAAATCACACATGGGTAGAAAGTGGCCATCCAAATTGCAAGATAGACAAATGGATTTTAATATAACAGTCTGAACATTTTATTGATATGATTTCAGAGTTCACATTACAAACTAACCTTTAAGAAACAACCCCTTGTTAAGTTTTGGTGTATATCCAAAAAAGAAAGAATATCCACAGTTTTCTGAAAAGGCTATTAAATACGTCCTTCTTTTTCCAACTACCTATCGCTATAAGGCTGAACTTTCTTTCTGTCCTTCAGCCAAACAGCTAATCACAACAGATTTAATACAAAAATGGTTATGATAATCCAGCTGTCTTCTAGTAAACCAGGCATTAAAGAGGTTTGCAAAAATGTAAAACAATGCTACTTTTCTCACTAAATTGTTCTGTTTTAGAAAATATATTTTTTCATTAAAATATTATTTACACTGACATGTAACGGCCTTATTGCTATTTTGAAAGGAATTAATATATAAAGATTGCCTTAAATAATACAACTGTGTCTAATTTCATGACACTGGTGCTACTGGGAAAACAGGGGAAAGAGAGATTACGGCAGAAAAGATACGGAAAGTTTTCACAAAAGACCTGGTATTCCACTTTAGACTCTGAAAAGTAGGACTTTAAGAGGAACTCTTTTTGAAAGAATGAAAAGTCATACGTAAAGGCTTAGAAACAGGAAAGCATCTGTTATTCTCAGGAAATAATGAGTAATGAGTTCAGTTGGCTGAAATATAAGGAAGGCACCATTCTCTCCTGCTTCTCTTGTTAACTCTCCCTCTCCCTCTCCCTTTCTGACTTTTCTTTCTCTCCCACTCCATAAATCTTGATGCTTCCAACAGTTTTGTCTTTGGATCTGTCTTCTCACTCTATATGTCTCCCTCAACAATCATGTCCATCTTCAAGATTGGAACTTCACTTCTTGGCTGCTGAATCCCAGATGTTTATCTCACATTCCTTCCTGAGCTCTAGAATTATATGTTCTGGACATCTTGAAAGCAACAAACCAAAAATGGAATAAATGTTTTCCCAGAAGCCACTTCCCCTCCTATATCCCCTTTCTTGGCATCCCCCCATATTCAGAAATAACTCAGGTCAAAAACAGCAGAGTCACTTTAATCTTCACTCTCACCTCCCTCCCCTATCTTCTTTCAATTTCATCCCCTTCCATCACCACTCTTCCTTGTTATTCTTTTCTGTACTATTATGGTATTTTCTTAGTTCTTTTCTGCCGCTAGTCTCACAACCTTCCATTTTATCCTCCTTATTGCTACTAAAGCCAATAGTACAAAAGCAACAAATCTAATCATGTTTCCCTGTCTTGAAACCCTTTGATGCCCGCCCCCCTCCAAGGATTCCCTAACACCTTGGTGGAACATAAAATGTCATCCATTACCTGGCCCTTGATTACTTCTCCATCCTTAATGCTTGGCAGGTACCCTCCACAGCCCATAGCAAACCTATTTCTTGATTCTGCCATATTAAAGAACTTGTAGTTCTCAAAATGACTCCAGGTTGTTTTACTTTTCCATGACCTTGTTCAGGTGTTTTCTCATCCAGGAATGTCTTTTTCTGCCCCATCAACAAAGGATACCAATTCACCTTTCATCATTATTCTAGAGATACATTTCCTCTAAGAATTTTTCTCTTCACATTGGCTTAAGTAACATATTTATTTTCCTCTTTTAATAATAACATTTAAAGTGATTATTAGCATGTGAAATCTGTTTCTGAAGCTGTTCTTAATTGATTTCCCCTCTTCACAGCACAAAACACTGAATAAAGTATTTTGCAAGGGCTCATCTTGTTTTAAGTAAAAAGCAAAATTTAAATATCTAGCAGAAAGTACCCAAATCCATATTTCTTCTAATATTTCTACATATAAACTGGCAAAAAAAAGAGCCAAGGTTTACAAAACACATGTCCAATAGCCATGTGTGTATTATGTCCTTTCAAAAGTTTTTTTCACAAATAATTTTATATTTCTGGAATTCCTTGAATATTTTGCAAATTTAATTTTTGATAGACTTGACATTCTTTTATATCACAGAGGTATTTTGTTTTGAGAGGTTTTTTCCTCAAACTGAGTCACATTTCTAGTCTTTAATATTAATATAGCTGGTTATTCACAGCTCATTTTAAAAAGGATTAAAATTCTTAAGCAGCAACATCATAGCTGTATTTGCCATCCCCTGAATTCAAGTGATATCAGAGGTACAGATATGCCTGCCAGAGACTTGCTTCATTACTGAGCTCAAGTCCCCAAAATCAGTGAGCATCCAATCCAGCAGATAGAAAGAAGCTTTGAGCAGCTGCACAAAATGAAAGGCTTTTATAGGTAGAAGGGAGTGGGAACAAGGAAGTTTTATCAGGCAAAAAGCAAATTGATTACTGCAAGGTTATTTTCCTTTAGGGGATGGCACGGGTCTATCAGGCAGATTACCTCACTACTGCTGATCAGACAACTCCTGACTGACTGGTATGAGATTCCATTTCTGGGAGAGCCCAAATTGTAATTAAGTCTTGGTTTGGTGACGTGGGGCTTAGTATGAGTGACCCCATTTGAGGCCTGTTGTCTTATCTTAAAAAAAACAAATTTGGATGGAGATATACTGAGGAAATGCAAAATGTTCAAAGCTTTTATGCCTAATTACATGAGGAAGACATTATCCCAGTTATAGAAACGACGGGTCACACATTTACATAGGAGCCTAGACTTCAGTCTATCACACTC